CACACAGAGAGAGAGAGAGAGAGAGAGAGAGAGAGAGAGAGAGAGAGAGAGAGAGAGAGAGAGAGAGGAAGAACAAGACAACACACAGGGCTAGAAACAGGCAAAACGCAATGTGAAAAGACAATGACGGAGGTGAACTGACAGAGAAACATACAGGGAGCCTGAGGGAGGCTAATGCATATTTGTCAGAGCTTTTGCTTAGGGATTCCAGTAAGCGGGAGAGAAGAATTTGCGTGTTGAACAGACGAAGTGACAAGGATGATAAGGAAAAGAGAATGCAGAAACGAACTTGACCAGAAAGAAGGCAGCGTAATGGGATACTCACAGACCGACTTCCTTGTCTGAATCTAGTCGTAAACATCGTCAGATACTTGATGGAATTTAAAGGGAGGACAAAAACGCCTAGTAAATGAAAAGAAGGGGAAACTACGCCGAAGTCACAAAACGAGTTATAATTGCACTATGGGCCAAGATACAGTTCCGAATTGCAGTTCAGGCTTTGTATACAACCCAGCTTTCTGGCCAGGTACGCAGGAGTCACAAAAATGAGTTATAATTGCACTATGGGCCAAGATACAGTTCCGAACTGCAGTTGGGGCAATGTATACAACCCAGCTTTCTGGCCAGGTACACAGGAGTCACAAAAATGAGTTATGCACTATGGGCCAAGATACAGTTCGGAACTGCAATTGGGGCAATGTACACAACCCAGCTTTCTGACCAGGTACGCAGGAGTCAGCAAAATGAGTTATAATTGCACTATAGGCCAAGATAGTGGTACTGTCATACCACGGCTAATTTGCCCGATCCCATCCGAACTCGGAAGCCAAGCGCAGTTTGGCCGAAATAGTACTGGGATGGGTGACTTCCTGGGAAGTCCCGCTGCTGTACCAGTTCGGAACTGCAGTTGGGGCAATGTATACAACCCAGCTTTCTGGCCAGGTAAGCAGGAGACAAAAATGAGTTTTAATTGCACTATGGGCCAAGATACAGTTCGGAACTGCAGTTGAGGCAATGTATACAACCCAGCTTTCTGGCCAGGTACGTGGGAGTCACATAAAAGAGTTATAATTGCACTGTGGGCCAAGATAGAGTTTGGAATTGCAGTTGGGGCAATGTATACAACCCAGGTTTCTGGCCAGGTAGGGTGCCCGGATTGCAATTGCAAACTGTATGTACCTTGCCCCATACTGTAATTATAATTCGTTTTTGTGACACTACTGAAGTTACCCCTAAAAAGAATCAAGGTGTTAGCCCTCCTCCCTTCCCGTCGCCCTTCCCCGTCCCTCCGCACCGCCGTCGCCCTTCCCCTTCCATCCGCACCGTTTCCCCGCCCCCTCTTCGGCACATCCCATCACTAAGCCCTGTGGATCTGCTCGATACAGCTTCACGGCTTCAAATGACCAAAAAATCTCATTAGAACGGCCACGTCAGCGGCATTCCTGCCTCAAGCTGGTCAGCCAATCAGCGAAAAACGAAAGAATGAAGATTACACAAGATAACACCTTGGGCCTCGCCGCGCTGCTCACCGAGTGCACAAAGACAAAAATGATGGCGGTGCATCTATCCATGTTCTGGTGGTCTATCCATGTTCTGGTGGAAGATTCATTCTCATTTTGTACATTTGGTGAGCAGTGCGGCGAGGCCCCTTGCCAACGACTTCAAACATTAATAATCCACGTACCAACGCGCTCCGTTCAGTTGGTACACAGATATCAAATCATTGTTGATATAGACACTCAACCTCAAATCACGATATTATTTCCCAAAAAAAAAAAAAAAAAAAAAAAAAAACGATATTATCAGATGAACAGAATCAAATCATTCTCAATCTTCTGGGCCTGGCCAGTTAAATACCGATATCTCAAGGCCATCTTTCTTGAAAAAGAAAAAGGGGGAAATTCAAAAAACCCGTCAATATTTATAGAATCAAACGAACAATCTCCATGAATATTTTCCTAAGTTTTTATTTCAAATTTGGACCATTTCTCTATTTATGAGTGTCATCCTTGCGCAGGGGCCATAATAAATTAATAATCAGTCTCTTCTCTTAATCGCACCAATTTTAACGGATGTCCCTCCGCTATGAAAATTAACTGTAAAACACAGCCGACATAAATTTAATAAAAACAAAAAATTCAGGTAAAAAGAATGACGAATCACAGTCTCTATCAATCTACAAGAAGATTTGCGCTCACCTACAGATCCTATCGGAGAAAAAAACCGCAATGAGACCTAAGGAGAGAGAGTGTCGTCGAAATTGGATACCAAGAAGGAAACAATCAACTGACCAGCAACAGCGGTACCCTCAATTTTTTTCACGGTGATGAAGTCCATCACCAAATTCCGCTCGATGCAAGGCAATGGGCCATGCCAATGATGAGGGGGGGAGAGGGGATTGGGGATGATGAGGGGGGGAGAGAGGGCCGAGGGGGGGCCGGCGCGGGTGAGGAGGGAGAAGAAAGTGTGGTCTAAAGGGTCACGTCCTTCGCCAGAAGCGCGAGGGCGGCCTCAGGAGTGGGGAGAGCAGGGATCGCTCCTCTCTCGGTGGTGGTGATAGCACCGGCGGCGCAAGCAAACCGCAGAGTGGACTCGAGCTTGGATTTGTCGTCCAAGATGGAGCGATCAGCCGCGATCCGGACAAGCAACGCCGCGACGAAAGCATCCCCTGCGCCGGTGGTGTCGATCGTCTCGACCTTGAACGAGTCCACGTGTCCGGAGAAGCTCTTCGTGTAGAAGTCGGCGCCRTCCTCTCCGCGAGTSACGACGAGGAGCTTGAGGTCGTCGTGCCACAGACTGCGGGCGACCTGCTCGCTCACCTCCTTCTCCCCGGTGAGGAAGAGCAGCTCCTCGTCGCTGACCTTGATGATGTCGGCCTCYTTCCAGATRCTCAGCATGCCTTCCTTGGCAGCTATKGCGGACGGCCATAGAGGCAGACGAAGGTTGGGATCGTAAGAAAGGACGGCGCCTGCGGCCTTGGCCATCTTCATCGCCTCCAGATGCGCCGATCGACTCGGTTCRGAGATCAAACTGATCGATCCGTAATGAAAAATGRCGGCTTTCTCGATCAGCTTCCTGTCCAGCTCCTCAGKCGTCAACARCATATCAGCGCTTGGGTTTCTGTAGAACATGAACTCCCTCTCGCCATTGAGCTTCAGAGTGACGAAAGCGAGCGCCGTTCTCGCGTTCGTGTCGAAAGTCATGCCGGAAACATCAACCTTGTTCGACTCCAGCACCGCGGCCAGCATCCTGCCGAATTCGTCATCCCCTACCTTCCCCACAAACGCGGCATTCCCGCCCAATCGCGCAACACCCACGGCAACGTTGGCTGGCGCGCCACCTGGAGCCTTCTTGAACGCCGGCGCTTCCGCGAGCGACAATCCATTCACGGTCGGCACGAAGTCAATCAACAACTCCCCGAACGAGACGATCAATGGAGCAGCAGCTGACGGAGACATCTCTCTCTCTCTCTCTCTCTCTCTCTCTCTCTCTCTCTCTCTCTCTCTCTCTCTCTCTCTCTCTCTCTCTCTCTCTCTCTAATGAAGATGACAGAGCTGTACTAGCTATGGCGGTTGGTAGGAGGCAGACAGGGCACCGGCATGAGAGGTTTGCCCGAAGGTAGTCGAACTTCGCGCAGCGTGGAGAGGATGGTCCCTCTGCTCCTTGATGCCTTGGCTGCCTGCATGTCTTGGTGTTCAACCGCTATCAATCCTAATATAGGGATATATTAGTCGAGGGGCGTCGCTCCACTACTCCGGAAATGCACAAAAGACAAAAATCATCGCGATGTATCTTTCCTCGTTCTAGCGGGAGATTCTCTCTAGTTTTGCACATTTCGAGAGTGGTGGAGCGAGGCCCAAGGAAAGCGAAATTCCGAGAGCACCGACACTGTCCGCCGCATCGGGAATGGTGACTGAGAGAGAGGCGCCAGTCCTGAATGTATCGGAACGTGATTACGGCCGAAGTTGGATGTCTCTGACGGCAATTACGTCCAAAAATGTGTAAAAAAGTCCTAGTGCGGGTATGGCGGAACACCAAGCGTGCCCATGGTGCCCATGGTGACTGGGATGGGAACGACAAGGAGTACTGGCTATTATCTAGGGGAAAGTTCACTCTCATTTTGCACATAGTGGTGTGACGATGCCCATAGGCCCATGCCCAGACACGGAGATGCCAGCGGCTCGAATGAGCTCCGTTAGACGGGAATCGTTTACACGTCAGCTTTACCTTAAATGTATCTGGCAGCATGTACGGGCGGATCTAGATGTACCTTACCGCAGTTACTTCCATATATAAAGCAAAAATGTCCTATTGTGAATATGCCCTCATTCCCTTATAAAAAATAAAAAAATTAAAAAATGCCCTCATTCCTTGAAGCTGACGACGAGACTGCCTGCCTGCTCTGTCGACGATTGCATCCCTTTTTCTTTCTTCAGTTTTTGTTTTTTGGTGCCGTTTCTCGTTTTGCGTGTGTCGTTTTCCCGCCGGTGACAACAATGGCGGAACATGGCGGCATCTTGCCGCCGCGCTCTGTATTGTTCGACCTTTTTTTGTTTTGACGGACATAACGAGGAACGATGGCGGCATCTTGCCGCCGCGCTCTAGCTCGTGACCTTGGGGGATGGGGAAGGGTCCATGCAACTAGGGGCCTCGTTCGACACCACTGGAAAATACTTGAGTTTCAAGGGCACCCTTAACTCCCGGAAGGTGATTAATTTCCCCTCACTTGTTTTTTGGTTCCACAACGCCTTGATGTTCGTAGGGGAGGGGACCACCACCTGAGGGGAGGCACAGGGATTGGTCCTGTTGGCATGGTCCCTGTGGTACCGGCTGTCCCTTAGCCCGTATCGCCCACCTGCAGGTCGGGAGCAGCCCCCGCATGTTCTCTCGTCGTCACGGTTCTGGCTGCATGGGGTTCCCCGTATGCCTACAATTAGGAGTAGTGGTAGGTAGGTAGTGTGTGGTAAAAGGGCCTCGCTCGACACCACATGCTGACGTCATTGCACCACGAACAGTGGTGATTCGTGGAAAAAAAAAGAAGAAAAGAAAAAGGTCCGTATATTACCCGTTTTGAAACCCTTGCACCCCAAGTGACCTCCCGAGGCACCCTTGGGATTTTCCTCGATTTGCCTGGGCCGCACTTTTGTTTCGAGGGCGGACACTTGGCCGTGGGGATCTGGAAACAACTAGCGACTTTAAGGTGCCCCAAGTGCCTGGGCCGCACTTTCAAGGGCGGACACTTGGCCTTGGGATTTTCGTCGATTGTGCCCCAAGTGACCTCCTGAGGCACCTACGAGATTTTCGTTGATTTGGCTGGGCCGCACTTCCGTTTCAACGTCGGACACTTGGGCGCAGGGATGTGGAAACAATGAGCGACTTCAACGATGCATGATTAGGGCGGGGTCGAACGACGCTTCCTTGAAAAATAGCAATTTCCAAGTGGTGTCGAACGAGGCGCTATAATACACAGGATTCGTGAAAACCTAACAAAACAACAAAACCTCACATTTTTTATAGAATGAAAAAGTAAAAGTCAAACTGTTATTTTTTACACAAAAAGAGAGCGTTTTTAACTGTTTTTAGGTAAAGAAGGCAAAAAACAAGGTGAAAAGTCAATTGTTCCTCAAAATGTGCAAGAAAACCCTTTCGTGCAAAATCCTCTTATATGGCTATAAGTCGTTCTCTGTAGATTTGCAAAAAGCAAAGCTCAAATACGACAATTTTAAGGACTACAACGTAAACTTGAAAGATGTAAAAAAAAACAGATTTTGGTGAATACTCATTTAAAGAACTATAAAGCATTTTCAGCAGTTAGGTAAAAAGCAAGATCTGCGAAAAGTAATTTATAGGACTATAAATCATTTTTGACTTTTTCAATAAAACTCTTGGCAAAAAATATATGTTATTTAAAATAAGAATACAAACAACTTTTGTCAGGGAGACACCTTCAAATTCTTAGCCAAACACGAGTTTAAAATTAAAACAATGGGGAAAAAAATAAAATAAACAGTAAAAAAATTTATGTTCGCTCAGGTATGGAAGAATATATTTGAGAACATGTTTGAGCGTACGAAAACCCCCCAAATACATTCATCGTGCTATGCATCTTATAGGACTATAAACATGATTTTTCAGATAACAAAAAAATTAGATATTTAAGTTCTTAAACATACGCTACTTCACCAAGTAGTGATTTTATATGGAAAAACCTGCTTTTCTCCTCGCCACTTCCAGTGGTTCTCAAAAAGTAATTTTCTATTTTTTTTTTTGCGGTTGTTTTACTTAACGTATAATTTTGTTCCTTGAGGAGGCCTGAAAAACGTAAGATCATAATTTTGAATACATTTTGTGCAAACCTAACAATTTATTTTGTTGGGTTTTCACGAATCCTGTGTATGCCTATTGTGTTGGGATGGCCATGCTGTTGACGAGTTTCAAGCACCAGTGCATGCCAGCTGTCGGTCGTGGGCCCCTTTCGGACGACGCCCACCGCCGATTCATTTTATCTACGACTCTCAATCTCCTAAATTTTTGGCAAGGCTGAAACCAGACTCTCCAGTTGCCTGGGGCCATGTGCTGGTGGTTTCAACACTTGTTTTTTCCCTGCTTTGTATATCAGGGAGCAGGGTGATTTCCGAGTCTCCTACGATCTTTGAGTGAATTCATACTTACCTAAAAGATGTCGGGAAACGTCGAAGGTGCTACATGTGACGATGCTGCCAGATGGAGTGGGAGATCAGTTGGAGGCAGTGGGAGCGTAAGATGTGATTTCTACGGCGCTACCTTCCTGTACTCGTTTCACATAGTGCTTAAGTGGAGAAAAACCTTGGTCGTATCCTGGACCAAGTGTATCATAACTGAGCAGCTATGGGACAAACAAAACGGAGTGAAATCAGAGGAGGCGAGACATCTCACGGAATACAAAATCCGTACTACCATGAGAAAGGCTATGAGTGGGCGCACGTCGTGAAGACTGCTCACCCTGGGAAAAACTCTAGACTCTCTATCATTTGAACACTTTCAAGATTGAGTAATGTAGTGGTAGGCAGAGCTGGTGCGGTTTCGCAAGGTACAGTGGACCTCATACGCAATGCAGAGTGTGTGTCGTTTCAAATAGTGAACTCTGGGATGGCTACATCTACCTGCCCGTTCTGTTTGGGCAGTTTCTATGATTGAACAGTGACGAGCTCAGGCTGTAACATGTTTCTTGTCGGTATATGGTAGAGACTAAGAGACAAGTTTGGTCAAACAACAGAATATGGGTCATTTTGCTTATATCTACATATATTCTTTGGGGAGATTCACTATATGATCGATAAGGGACGACTTGCAATGTGTGCTTCTCTCAGCATATGGCAGTGGAGGGCAATGAAACTATGGAAGGAAGTGGGTGACCTATAAGGTATTGGTGTTGTTCTTGTTTTGTGATTGGGGTCTGCCTTTCCTGTTTTGTGAATTACTTTCTGGAATTTTCCAGGCTATTTGGTCTAGTTCGTGATCCGTTGCTTTGGTTGCAGTCCTTCCGATGAAGCTGCCGCCTTTCTTTAGACGCATTCCTTCCGATGGAAATGTGTTTGACGACACACTCGATGTGGAAGAAGGTCGACGGCGATGGACGCACCCAACGATTCAATGCACTCACGGCAGGCGGTGGGTGGAAGGGATGCGGCCACTGAGTCAGTCTCTGCACTATGCTGTCTTCACGCCGCCAGCTGCACTGTGACGCCTAGAACTTTGTGCTCGACTCGACTTCCCGGTCAGAGTGTGAGTGGGCTTGGAAGTGCGAAAATGGGTCTGCCAAGGATTTTTCAAAAGTGGGGATGAAGTCCTAGGTCGGATCTGAGATCTCTTGTGACAAATTTCAAGGATGCAAATGCAGGAGGAGGATAGGTGTGGATCAGAGTCCATCTGTAGGCTTAGGGAAGCGGGGCTACCGCCTCCAGTGGTTCCGTCGTCTGGATCAGACGTGTATTTGGTGGACCGTCGGGACGCTATGGCTATCTCGCTGGTTGATCACCTCTCGGCGCCGAACATCGCAGGCTTCAACGTCGGACACGGTCGGTCTCAGTCGGAGGCTGTATGCCCGTCGCTCCTCCTCCGAGCAAGTTCGTTGGATGAAGCCGGAGGCTCGATACTCTTGATCCTACAAGCACTTCGAGCACGGGGGATGGGCCAGTAGGTGGCGATTGCAGGCCAGGGGACGACGGTTAAGGAGTGATAGGGTAGAATGTGGTGACAGGGAGGAAACTCGGTCCCTAAGATAATGATCCCGGGTTCCACGACGACGTAACACGGTTATGGGCAAGAGTAGCTGGGGAGATGGGGGATACGTCCCAAAGCCCGGTCGAGATCCCACTTGCAAATGCGTTTAGTTCCAGTTTTGTAAGGGAAGTTCAGCGGGTCCGCCCTCGATCGGGCTGACGAGCAGAAGTGTTCCCAATATCCTCAGAATTTCCGATCTCTCAAACACTCCGGGTCGGTGACATGAAAAGGGATTTCAAAATTCATATTATAGGGGGGCCAGGCATTTAGACATTCGCGAAATCGATCGAGTTAAGGTTTCGCAGACACGGGTGTAGGCAGCGATCATGCTTG